TTTTTTCCCCCCAGTCTTTGAAGCATATTTCCTACATTACTTCTTTTATTCATTTTTTTTTTTGGTTCAGTCATTCAATTTAGATTTGTATTTCTATTTTTTCTGCCCTTTTTAATTATTTCATTTATAAATTAATTAAAAAAAACAAACAAAAAAACTATTAATAAAGTGTAGAATACAGTACAATCAGAACTTTATATTATAATCACATTGCACTTGAATAAAGTTAAAGGTGCGATCTGCCGATTGTCCTGCAGGTGACCGCTTAAATCTGTCTTCTTACGATGCACTTAGGGCTTTACGATTACTCCAGAGCACTTGTAGATCTACGATGATTTTCAAGTGCTACTTAAGTTACGATGCTTTTGGGAAGCAGACCGTAATATTAAGATCAGTCGTACAATCATTTTTACGAACTTCTTAGGCTTACGAAGCTTTTGGGAAACGCAGCCCTGGATGGCCCGAGGGTTAGTAAAGTTTCAGCACATTTTCATTTTTGGGTCAAATATTCTTTGAATTGCATAGAAATGTGTGGAGCTGAGGTTTCTAGAACACACTTCTGTTGCCAAATTCTTTTAACATGCACAGATATTAACAACAAATGTGGTGTCAAAAATGCTAAACAATTTTTGTCTGTACTATGGTGTGATTTATACAGCACAATTGACGGGGATCAATTTAAATTTATAATAAAGTGCTAAATAATGACATTACGTCGTCTACTGTCCATTGATCCTAATGAAAAGCACTTGAGCAGCCAACTGTTGCTATGGTTACCTCCTCCTGCAACTTACTGAAAATACACACTCTGAGTAACTTGTAATCTAATGTTTGTTGTTACTGAAATGTTATGTGAAAGTCCTAAAATTTTGTATGTAAAATGAAGCATGTAATATTTTAGATATATACACTTGACCTCCTTTCATTTTGCCCTCCTTTGGGACATTCAAGCCTAAATTGGAGGGGTCAAGGGTCAGACCTCAAATTCACCAATCTAAAATGATCCTGTCTGTGGTCTGGATTGCAACAAAAATAAAAACTTCCCAGAAACACAAATAATTTAATAAATGACGGTTTCCATTTTTGTTGCTTCTGACCACACAGTGCCATCTGGATTCTGAATTCTACTGTATTTACAGACTCAATTACTAGGTTTTAATTTGACTCAATGTATCTTTATTTTTACTCAGTTTATGAATAACGTCTCAGGTTACTTATGTAACCATGATTCCCTGAGTAGGGAACGAGACACTGCGTCCTCTAGGGGTCGCTATGGGGAACGCCTCGTCGTGACCCGTGTCTGAAGCATACATTGAAAAAACGCCAACTCGTTAGCCGGCGACAGCCATGACGTCACTACCGGTGCGACTATAGTATAAATAGGCGCCGGGAGCTACACATCATTCACTTCTTCGTCTGTAGAGGACGCAGTTCGAAGTTCCCATGAAAGGGAAACACATGCATGTAAAATACCACACTTTGGCCTTCAAAAATGAGAAAAAATACACATGCACAACCATTTTTTCTGAGTATGAAGATTTTTTTTTAAACCTAAAGAACCTTTTTTTCCACTATAAAGTCTTTTTTGTGCAACTGAAAGGCTTCATGGGTTTTAACTCTTTCAAGACCAATTGATCTAATCTATCCATATTCACTTTATAGCTCTATACTCTGTATATCAATAATTGGCTCATTTGTGTCCGTAACTTTAGGAGAAACTTCTGAGACAAAGTTGATATTTCAGGCAAATTACATACATTGTATTTCCTAAACTATATACTGTAAGAGCAACATCTGAGCAATATTTTTCAATGGACTTCTTATGCAAATCATCCAAACCCTCCATTCCCACCATTCAGACGGCTTTTCTTTTCATTTTGATTAAAGATAAGATGCCCTTGTTTGTTACCTCACTGTAGGGAAATTACCAAGAACTAACAAGACCTTTATCACACAACAGTTATCACAAAACCTCAGGATGTTTTTCTTCTTTTAAAAGTCAACCTTTCAGATATGCTTTGAAACTGCCACAGCAAAATCCCCCGAGTTAAATCAACTCTGCTCAGAGTGCATATTGTCCCAATCTACAGAGTGTTAAAGTAACACTGAAGCAGAGTTACCACTGTTGAGGATTATGTGGTAAATTTTCATGTCTAAAAGCCTGAGCAGTAGTTGTTAATTAAGTAATGATTGAGCATTAGTAAAGAAAACCCACTGTTAACAATGTTGAAGATGAACAACTACTGCTCAGGCTTTTAGACATGAAAATTTACCACATAATCCTCAACAGTGGTAACTCTGCTTCAGTGTTACTTTAACACTCTGTAGATTGGGACAATATGTACTCTGAGCAGAGTTGATTTAACTCTGGCACTAAAACAGAACTGTTTTTTGTATTTTCAGCTGGCCTGTTCACAGTGCTACTCTGGTGAAACACATTAGCATTGTGAACAGTCAAACAGAAAATACAAAAACTAGTTCTGTTTTAGTGCTATACCTGTTTCTAAGGTGTCCTGAGTGGCTTTTAATGCATTGCTATGTGGTAACTAACATGAATGAAGATTCATAAATACTGTAACAAATGTATTGCTCATTGTTAGGTAATGCTATAGTTAATGCATTAACTAACTAAGGTTAATTTAAGTAAGGAAGATTATTGTAAAGTGCTACCAAAAAAATCCCTAAGTAAACTATAATAAACGTTGCTTTGGGAACTAAGTAAAATAAGTTTAAGCACTAAAAATATTTTTTTTTAAATGGAAAAGGGAAATTAGCAAAAACTAAAACTGAAATTAAAATAAATGAAACCTAAATAGTAATAGTGTAAACAAAAGCTAATAAAACTAACAAAAGCCCATTTCTAAAAATGAAACTGAATCGAATTGAAAACTGAAAGTATAAAAATAAAAGCTCATTCAAAACATTAATACAAACTATAAAAGTATATAAATATGACTAAAATAATACTTGTGGTTGCTAGGGTGTTCTGAATGTTTGCTAGGACATTGGTAGCTGCTTTCTAAAGTTTTCTGGATGGTTGCTTAAAGTCTTTAGTCTCTAAATATGGCTATTTTATCATCTACTAGGCAAAATCATGATACCCAATGTTTAATAATGAGGGTTAGGGGTTTGTTCAAAAACGAACTTTAAACAAGCAACTGTAATAGTGATTCTTACCTTATCAAACTTCAATAATGATCACATGTGTAAAATATAATCATCTAAATCCATGTGAATACAGGCCCAAAGCACACAAATACAAGCCCGTCTCTGCTCTTACCAGGCTGATGATGAGAAAGAGGACGAGGAAGGTCTCTCTTGTTGCGTGCCTATGCATGCTGCTCACGATTGTTCCCAGAGATCTCACACACAACCTCATAAAGCCTAAAAGAGAAGGAACATTGTTTTAAAACACACACACACACAGAGATACAGAGCTGCTTTAGTACTACTGGCCACATCATAATATACTGCAGCACAGTGGCTGATGCTCCGTCTGGACCCACAACAACACCGAATCACCCTTACATTCTTTATTATATACACCCCCATCCAAAATAATCAAATCTCTGATCGCTGAAGTGTGCAGGGCCAGTGCGAGTGGGCAGGGGTTTATGGGAAATGTGTGTCGGGTAGATTTACTGATCCACAGCGAATCTAAGGTAGTATAAACCTGTGCGAGGATAGCGAACGGTCTCCGAGCCCCCGCTGTCTTACTCATCTTTATTAGCTCCCAAAAAAAGGAATGAATGAATCATACGGAATAAAACACACACATAGACAAAAACGAGCAGTGATTCAATTACATGCAACTGCAGAACTCCTAGCTTGCATGATCAGAAAAACAAGATGATTCAGTGCCGAAAGGAATCAGATATTACACTGTTTTCCTCCAAATGAACGTGTGATGATTTGGTATGTGAATGCTTTGCAGCTCTCAAGTCTAGAAATGCCCAGTTTCTTCTTGCACATTCGCTCTCTTCTCCGTGCTATTTTTGCAACCCTTGTGGGATGCAAACAAACAGGCACTTCAAGGAGAGAAAGACAGTTGAGTGTCAATCAAACAGAAGGTTTTTTTATGGATGCAAAACACACACTGTGGCTCTATGATAACCATCATAATGCGAAGCACAGGGCTGAACGTGGCTATGTTTCTGAATGGGCTCTGTGCTCTTGAAGGCACAACAGCATCTGGTAATAATAATAACGGTCAATTAACATTGCATGTTCTTGTGTATTTTTATACCGCTAATGCTATTGTGATCTACTGTATTGCAACATTAATTCCATTAACGGTGATGCATCTTTTCCACAACAGAAAAAGCAACACTGTAACACAAAGAGAAAAGCATCACATTTTCAGCACCTAATGGATTATAATGACTTAATATGGTTCACAATGTCAAAACATTACAAGGTCAAAAGTGTGGAATAAAATGGAGGTCATTGCAATACATGCACTTTTTAAAAATCGGATTCATTTTGAGGCAGTAATTTGAATGGGAATATACAGTGGTTCGTTTTGCATGAATGTGAAGGCAGCATTAACGTGTGCTGTGACTCACTGCATGCCTTCATATTCACTGCAGAAATCTGGATTGATTTACTGATGATGGTGTGAGGCGTTTTTCTGGCTCAAGATGCACGAGTTTGCTTCATGGGGTGCATATCAGTGAACTGGATTATATTTCACCCTAAAAGAACAAAAATGCATAATGTAATTGGCATTATATAGCCTATATTTTGCATCTTTGTCAGCACAGTTCAACCCATTTTCTCCCTAGTTTTCATTAAGTCTCACGATGTTTAACTTTTGAGGTTTGGCTCTAATTCTCATTATTCTTAAAGATGGCTCTCATTAGATTCTCATTTCTGTAACAGAGTAATGAAATCATCCTGTCTGGTCAGTTTATTTTTATTAAAATCAGTAGACTTTAGTACAACAAACAACAGCCTTGATACATATTAATAATTAATAATAGTAGTGTTTAAATCATATAGAATTATTTTCTGCATTACAGTCAGTGGAAATGTGATTAATTGTGATGAAAATATTTATGCAAATATAATTTCGTATTATTTTCTTTCAGTTTTGGGGTGAAATGTGACATATTCTGGAAAAGCTTCATGAGATTCATCCATTTACAGTTTGCATGAAAAACAGCTCATGCTCAACAAGGATTTGCGACAAACATGCTTTGGATGCATTAAAATGCATCCTTTTAAAGTGATAATGTGGATGAATCGGTACATTATAACCCACAAATAATCGTTAAATTCCTGAACTGAACGTATATCCAACAAAGCAAGCCCAATAATCTCTGCATCCTCTAAATATTCACTCATCTCATATTAATAATTAATCCGTCCATAGAAACACGCGTGAAGCGAATAAGAAACACGCCGTTCACTACCGTGCATTATTGTGAACGGAGGTCGCCTGCATTCAATGTATCGCTGTAGCGTTACACTGCGATCAATGACTGAAGAAACGCGAAGAAAGAAGAAGCGCAAACTCACCATCACAGAAAAACTCGCGATATAATTCCTCTTTTTCGTTGTAACGTCTGCAAATGGACGGTTCGATTCGTGCACCTGCGATTTCAACTTTGTCATCCGCGTCTCACATCGACAGACTGGAGTAATGAAGGACTGTGGAGCACTGGAGGCGCGTGAGAGCGAGTGATTCCCTCACTGCTGCTGACGATCACCTGCACTGAGAGACACCAGCATCACTGAACATCACAGCACAGCATTCACATTATTAAGCCATCACACGCAATCATTCAACCCTCAACGCTTAAGACTTCACCAACTGGCACTATGCATTCAATGCATTTTTTTATTTTTGATTTCTTTGATTTGTAAGATTCTAATTGTGGTTTATAATCCATTAACTAGTGATCAATCCTACCATTATTCTTCACTAATAAGGCTCTCCAACACTGAAGATTCACTTGCATAAACAAACCATCACTCACCATTATTTACCCTCATTGCACCAAAAATGAACACTATTCAAAAAAATTCACCAATTTGTAGTATGCATTCAGTGCATTTTCTTGTCTTTCTTTATTTTGTGAGTTTCTAACTGTGGTTTATAATCTATTAATAAGTGAACAATCCTACCATTATTCATCACTAATATTGCTCTCCAACACTGAACATCAATTGCATAAATAAACCATCACTCACCATTATTTATCATCATTCATCAACAGTGAACATGTCACAGTTTTACATCAGTTGGCATTATGCATTCAATGCATTTTTTTATTAAAGAAAAGCACATAAGCATCCCAAGGCACAATACAAGTATCAATCAGTTATAGAATTAAGAAAGTGGGCAAAGAATGATAAATGCCCATCTACCTATAAACATATAGTCACAATAATAAGCATACAAAAAAGAAACACAAAACACATTTTAATCTAGAATCTGCTTTTTCAAAATATTCCAATGAGCTCCAAGATTTAATAAAAAGATCGGGTTTCATTCGCATTTAAAATGTAATCTTTTCAAGTTTGAGGGCAAAAAGTAGGTCAAAACCCCATTGACGGCAAGTTGGAGGAGATGGCAACTTCCAATTAATTAGTATAAGCCGTCTAGCCAACAGCGTGCAGGATGCAATGTTATCCATCTCTAAAGCTGTCAGTTTCGCATTCTCCGGAAGAACCCCAAATAGTGCTGTCAAAGGGTTGGGGTCTACTGCCGTAGTAAAATTTTGTGAGAAACACTTAAAAATTCTCCCCCAAAACCTTAATAACTTAGGGCAGGCCCAAAAAGAATGAAACAAGAGAGGCTGGCTCCCCAACACAATGCGGGCAGGTGGGGTCCAAATCTTGAAACATTCTGTTAAGTTGTACCCTAGACCAATGAATACGATGCACCACCTTAAATTTAATAAGCCTATGTCTAGAGCTAACCGAAGAAGAGTGTATCCTTTTTAAGATAGCATCCCAAGTTTCATTTTCTAACATGATACCTAAATCCTCCTTCCAATGAGATTTTAATGACCTACTAGATGGGGTTTGTTTGTCATTTATTATACTATAAATCTTTGATATGGCACCCCTAATACATGTATGCTGATATAAAACACCTTCCAAAACACCACTAGGAGGGGCAGAGGGGAACTCTGAAAAATGTTTACGGGCAAAGTGCTAAATGATTCCAGTATTAAAAGTACTCAAGGAATTGAGACCATAGGGTTAGACATAAATAAAATAAGATCGTCAGCATATAATGAAACCTTCTGTTCTATGCCAGCACGAAAAATCCCCTGCACCTCAGAATCAGTAGTGCAATTGCCAAGGGGTTCAATAGCAATAGCAAATAAAAGGGGGGAAGGGGGGCAACCCCTGCCTTGTGCCCCGATTCAGTGGAAACGGATCTGACATAATATTATTTGAGTGTACAGATGCTTTGGGAGTGGCATAAAGGAGCTTAATCCAAGAGATGAATTTTAAACCAAATCCAAACCTCTCCAAAACGTTTATGAGATAGTCCCACTCGATGCGGTCAAATGCTTTTTCAGCATCCAGAGACCACAACTTCGGGATTGTAGGAGTGAGGTGAATACAAAACATTAAAGAGATGCCTAATATTAAAGAAAGAATGCCTGTCTCGAACAAAACCAGTTTGATCAGGTGAGATTATTCTATGCAAAGTTTTTTCAAGCCGAATAGATAATATTTTAGCTAGTATCTTGTAGTCACAATTTAAAAGCGATATGGGACAATAGGGTCACAGCGGTCCATTTTCTGATCTTACTTTGTTTTGTGAGTTTATAATCGTGGTTTATAATCCATTTACTAGTGAACAATCCTACATTATTTATTATACCTAATACAGCTGTCCAACACTGAACATCATTTATATAAATAAACCATTATTTACCATTATTCACCATCACTGATCCAACATTCACAAACAGTTAACACTTCAACAATGCATTTTTTGTCTTTTTTTTTGTTTGTTTGTTTTATGAGACTCTAATAGTGGTTTATAATCCTTTAACAAGTAAACAATCTTACCATTATTCATCATCACTAATATTGCTCTCCAACACCTAACATCATTAACATAAATAAACCATCACTCACTATTATATACCATCATTCACCAACAGAGCACGATTTTTTTTTCACCAATCTGCATAATGCATTCAATGCCTTTCTTTGACGACACTTTTGCAGTCCAGTAACTAGTGATCAGTCCTACTATCATTCATTTTTTACCATTACTAACATCACTCTCCAACACTGAAAATCACTCATATTAATAAACCATGTACACTATATAGGGATGCATGATATTATCGGGACGATATCGGAATCGGCCGATAATGGCTTTAGATGTATATCGGCATTGGCCCAATATGAAAAATTATGCCGATATGTCTTGCCGATAAGAGGAATACTTTAACTCACATGTGCTCAGGGTGTGCTAGCGATTAGATCATGTCAGCAGCGTGGCTCATTCTTTAAGCAAAGTTTTTCCTGAATGATGATTAGATTCACTGTTTTTGGATTGCTGAATGTAATCTGAGAATGCATGTACAGAATGACTAGTTTGGTGTGTGATAGAGTAAACAGTAATAGCACGTGCAGCGGCAGCATCGGCAGCCTCCCACAGGTCCTAACGCCCGTTTGGTAAGGAGTTTTAATTCCGTAGGGGGCGCTGTTGGCCTACTTCTAATGAAATGAAAGTAAAATACACAAATAACATTTAGACTGTGTTTCTGATTAAATAAAGCAGTAATTGATGTCATAAAATCATGAGTATGTTTTGATTTAAAGATATATAGCTTACATGAATAAAAAAATCACAAACATGACACTTGTAAATTAAATAATTTTATATATACTGATTTATTCATTAATGTGTAATACCGTAGTGCTGTCAAACGATTAATCGCATCCAAAATAAAAGTTTTTGTTTACATAATATATGTGTGTGTACTGTGTATATTTATGTATAAATAAAGACACACACATACATCATATATTTTGAAAATATTTACATGTATTTTCATGTATATACTTATATTCATATAAATTATATCATAAATAAATATATTTAATATATAAACATAACATATTTTTATTAAATATATACATGCATGTGTGTGTATTTATATATACATAATAAATATACACAGTACACACACATATATTATGTAAAATAAAACTTTTATTTTGGATGCGATTAATTGCGATTAATCGTTCGACAGCACTAGAATATGTTATATTTTTTAAGCAAATTATGAGCTCTAAAAGGTTTTCAGAATTTTTACAACTCTTTTGCTTTAGAACATCTACAAATGTTAAATCTTAAAATAAAATGTTAGGGTTAACACTGCATCTTTCTGGGGGAAAAATACAGCG